ATCCCAGAGGGACAGAAATGTTGAAATAATTATTATATATACAAACAATTATGTTGTTTAAAAAACAAAAGAAGTTATAAAATGAAAAGTAGTAAAAATAATAATAATATGATTCCAACGAACATAAGACAAGAACAACAACAGCATGAAATAGCAACAACAACAACTGCTTAATGTCTATAATATACACAAAAAATAAAGACTATAAAAAATAAATAAATTAACCTCGTTACACATGCAATGAAATAAAACTTAACATCAATGCAGCCAATAGGAGCCGAAAAAAAGAAAACAAAAAAAATAAAATCAAATACATAAATTAAAAACAAAAACAAAACCAAAAGCCAAACGGAAATGAATAGAATAAAAAGTCCTTCGCCATAATTAACCTACAATTAGACTTGCACACACACACACACACTTATTCACACGCATACATGCGCACAATTAGCATGAACGATGAACGCCAAATACGAACGCAGCCACAAATAACAAAGGCTGTCATTTAATTGAGATCAGATAAATGAAAATTAAAACTAAACTAGACAAAAGCAACAACAGTGCAATAAAAATATACCAGCATGAAAAGTATATATGCAACAAAAACAACTACAATAACATTTTAATAACTGCATATTAGCAAGCCAACATTGGTGCCTATGTATATGCTTATTAAATGACACCATAAATAGGGAAGGGGAGCAAACGCAACTACCGTAAAAGGCAACATACATATAAGCATGCACTAATATACTTTTCTTATTTGCTTGTTTGTTTTGTTTTTTTTTTTCATTTTATATTATGTTTTGTTGCCATAACGTGCAAACGCAAAAATGGACTCAATCATTACAACTATTCTTGGTTTCACGTGTAAAAAACTGATTGAGCAAATGAGATATTAAAAAGGTAAAGGTAAGAAGAGATAAAAAAAGAAAAATAAATAAAATTTCAATATTACATGGTAGCTTTGGTATCGAAGGGTGACATGCAACGAATGACAATAACGTAGGCGTTACGCATGCAAGCCACGCAAGTTGAGGGCGTAAGTGGGTGACGTAGGCGTCGTAACGCATTCAAGTGCATATTTTATTTTTTTTTGCGTGAAAAAGGGCGTGGAAGGCTGTTTAAAATCACAATAACTCATGATCGAAACAATAATAAAAAAGTATAGTATATAGAGTAATAATATACAATAAAAAACTTGATTAAATAAAAGCAATAACAACAATTGCTTTAAGTTATAAAAACTATACTTGTACTGTACAATGTGTTAATTAGTACAGTACGTAATTAAAAAAAAAATAAACGGATATAATTAATTATTATAACAATTATTAATGATGCGTTATTATTATTCATTATTATGTTATTATATACTTATTATTTTAATGTAATTTATTTATTTACATTATGTATTAATAAAAAATAATTACTAATTAATTTAAAGTGGAGATCTATAATTACTTTATTATAATAGAGGTTTCGAAGAATAGTGAATCAGAACAACAAGGTGTTTTTATTACTATAAATAATTCAATTTTTCACTGAACACACAGGTGTTTCGAGTATTACCAAATGCCGTCATCTCTCCATAATTAATTAATTGTGGTTATATTTAATTATTAAAGTTCAATACTATACTTTTGTAGAGACATTATTTGTGGCATGATTTTGTATTATTCTTTCTCGTATATAGAACATAATCTAGGAACGTAATAGGGTTAGAGTAATGCTAATGTTGCTCTACGAAAAATTAAATTTATTAAAATAATAAAATAATTTTGTTGTTGTGATTCACTATTGTTCGATATAGTTTTTATTAAGAGATATAGAGATATTATAGATATAGAGTTATAGATTAAGAAAAATAATCATTGTTATCATAAGTAAAAATATTAAAATTATAAGTAAAAATATTACTTTATTATTTAAATCTGTTATTTTATTTTCTCTAGTAGTTAATAAATAATTAAAAATAGAGTGAAATGTTTTCTGATTTCATTAGAACTATTTTTTTATCGATATTTATTTATTAATATATATTAATTAACATAGTTTTTACATATTAATTATATGATAAAAATATTTACCTAATATACAAACTTGACTTGATTTTTCTTTGCTTTTTATTTTTATATATATTAATTATTTTTAAATTATTTTATTTATCATTATCATTATTTCTTAACATTTATTATTTGAACAACTAAGTATACTACTTTGAATATATTTGTTTATAGTTTGTTATTCTATATTATTAATATTATTAAATATTATTTTTTAATAATCTTTCAACTTAAATAATGTATTAATTTTTTGCGTTCTTTTAAGCTCCAAAAATAGTTAAAAGTCTCTTCGGTCAAACATTTTTTCAATTCCCCGTTTATTCAACTTGAGTTTACTTTTACTCTAAGGGGAATCACCTTTTTTGTCTATAGTTAAAGAAGATGAGGAAGTATAACAATTTTGTAAAATCTTTTGTAAGTCTTAAATTGATTTTAACAAATATTGAGACACATTGATTTGGAGTCTTATGGTTAACTAAGGTCACTATAATCAATACATATAATATGATATTATCTTAAGGAAGAATGGATGCAGTCAAAATTAGAAATTTTATAAGCAAAACTAGAGGATTTCATTGAATTAAAAGAGAGGTTCTGCACTATGTGAGAAAATAGAATCGATTAAATTTTGAAACAAAGTAAACGATGTATAGGTATGTTCTCTCGTAGTTCTCGTAAAATCTCGTTACAGAGTTTTTACATTGCTGGCTCTTGCAAGAAAACAGTGAGAATATTCGCGAAGTAAGATATGATTAGAAGTAAGGGACAACTGAAATTTAAAATCTAATTTAAATCTAATAGTCACATGTTGATACTGTTTGACATATAAATAGTAGTGAGTGAGTATTACTTACGGCACTTGACCAGAAATATAAACCTAACACCACGTTGTTCAGAGCCCACAACTTCGGGTGCCTAACCAATTCGGTTTTAAAAATCAGTAGCTTATTATTTTAAAGTAATTTCTGTTTTTCTATATTATGTATATGAATTGCACGATATATACTCATTTCATTGGTCATAACAACCCATTATCGGGTTTCAAACTGACGCACACGTTCCTCACTAGCGGCTTATTATACGTGACGGCTGTAAAACTCTATGTAGTACATATACTTAAAGTTCTAGTGATAGGACTCGCTCTACGCACTATTAGTTCCTTACTCAGCGGGTTACAGGTAACTATATAGGAGTCTCGTGTGGAGACTCTGCGATAACTGGGGTTGAAAACGACTAGTATTACTCTAGCATTTGCGTAGTTTAATGCAATCAATAACATTATTTTGTGTATTCGTAAGAGTCCCCTTCCCCACTCTTGGAAAGAAACCAATGATAAAATAATATCGTTTTTTTGGCTTATAGTATTATTCTTCTTCTCCTCTCCACTGAAATAAGCTGCAAATGATATGCGCAAATGCTTTCTTTAAGAAAGTGTCACCCAAATTGCAAATTTATCCATAGAAGAATCCCGCTTTCTATGTAAAATCGAATAAATTATGAGAAACTGTATCAAAGAATGACTCAAGTAAAGCTTAAGAAAAGCGTAACAAATGAGCAAAATAAATTGAATTGATAAAAATCAAAGAAGTGATACATAAAAAATAAACAAATAAAAACAAAATAAGTTCAATTAACTTGCAAATTTCCATAAAAGAAACAAAGAACAAGAAAATAGAAAAAAAATCGGAAAGAATTTAACTAAAAATCGGTCAAAATTCTGGAACAAAAAATCGTCGAACGCAGATGTGACTTAAGTGGCCTGAAGTACGCGCAACAAGAAGAAAAAAAAATAACAAAATTTACAAAAAAAAAAAATTAAAAATGAAAGAAAAAAATTCGCCAAATTTAACACTACAAAGCATTATCTACTTGATATCTCATTTCGAAATAGAATCCA